GATGAACTGCCATGCCTGGTGACCAGCATCCAGTCGCTCTCGACAGCTCCTGAGCGCCAGCTGCACCACCGGCGAGCAGCACCTCGAGATGACCATGAAGGTGAGCAAGTGAGACCTGGGGCGAGAAAGAGCGGCGGGGGGGGGCTAGGAGCAGTGCGGTAGGGGAAGAGGCGGTAAAAGGGGACCGACTCGTCAAAGGTGACGTCCTGAGACGCAAAGACACGGCGCGAGGCGGGGTCGTAAAACTGCCAGCCAGGCGCGTCAGGGACAAAGCCAAGGAAGCCACAAGGAATGGCGCGAGGGGAGAGCTTGTCCGCGGTGGTATCGCGGACAAAGGCACGAGCACCCCAGACCCGGAAACGCAACGCGTCGCCAACCTTCCCCGTCCACAGCAGTGTGGGCGAGGTCTCCGGCAAGGAGACACGGGGCCAAAGGTTGAGCTGATGCGCGGCGTACCGGACCGCAAACGGCCACAGAAAATGGGGGGCAGCCGCATGGATCATGGAGGTACGAGCGACCTCCATGACTAAGCCAATGCGGCGCTCAGCAACCCCATTTTGCTGCGGAGAGGCCGGAAGCGTGAAAGTCTGGCGGATGCCGTGCTCCGCACAGAAGGCTGCCAAGAGGGCTGAGGAGAACTCACCACCTCTGTCAGAGTGCAGACGCAGGACAGGAAGGTCCTGGCCGAACCGCTCGCGGAGCTGGAGACGAGTAGCGCGGATCCAGGGGATCAAAACATCAGGGACATCCCCCTTGCGCAGCAAGGGGAAGACCGTGGTGTAGCGCATGTAGTCGTCGACAACCAGCAGGAAGTACCGCTCGTGGCCCTGTCCACGGACGCGGGCTGGGCCCCACACGTCCAGGTGGAGAGTCTGCAGTGGAGCCTCTGTGGGAGGGAACGAGGAGGAGTGAGGAGCGGCGCGCTGCCGCCCCTCGACGCAAGGAATGCAGGGCGGCGCAGGCGAGGGAGGGAGGGCAGGCAAAGACCTGGGAAGACCAGAGACCAGAAAGCGAGAGTGCATGCTACGAAGGCGAGGCAGGGAGGGGTGACCAAGGCGGTGGTGCCACAGGAGAGTGTCGTGAGACAGCCGTCGACACTCACACTGGGTAGCTACCTGAGCAGACGCGTGCAGCTGGGGAGACAAAGGGGTGGAGCGCGACGCAGTGGTGAGGGTGTACAGACTGGACCCTGGCGCACGGGTGAACGTAGCCAGGTGGCGGCCGGTCTGGGAGCACGTGCAGATCGCCACACGCTGCCGGCCAGGGGTGAAGGTGTCAACACCCGCATCCTGGAGGACAGCGTTGCTCACCAAGTTCGTAGAGAACGAGCGGAGGTGGAGACCAGACAGCTCACCAGACGGGACCGCCGCACACGGAAGCACAGTGGAAGACCGTGCAAGCACTGGGCCCCCAGAGGGGTCAGCCAGTGAGACAGGAACAGGTGCAGGGAGGGGAGTGACTGTGGTACTGTCGCGAAAGAAGCAGCAGAGTCAAGTGTAAAGGTGTGCAAGGCCTGTGCAGGCGCAGTACCAAGGGGAGCAGACTCACAACCAACTAGTGCTGCAGGGACTATACCAGGGGCTATACCAGGATCCGGCGGCACACACAAGTAGCAGTCACCCTCAACACTAACAGTCAGTGCATACATAGCAGCAAGAATTGCCTCATAGTCAAGATCAAAGATAGGTACATCACGCCTAAGCAGGTCTGCCCAGTTGGGGAACTCAGTAGCATCAGGAAACTTGGCGCGCCAGGCGTCACTAAGCCGAGCAAAGCAGCGCTGCTCAGTGTGAAACCCTGTGCACTGGCGACCAGTGCGAGGACCTGTGCGAATGATAAAGGGGCAGCGACCAGGACCCCCTGAAGCCCCACGCCCGGCGTACCAGTCAAGAAGCTGCTGGGAAGTGGGGGTCTGGCGCTGACGCTGCTGCTGCTGCTGCTGCGACTGCTGCTGGCCCGGATCACCACCGCCACCACCGCTCCCCCCTCCCCCACTGCTGCCGCTGCCACCTCCTCCGCTCCCAGTGCCCCCGCCGCCCCCACCACCACCTCCACCACCACCACCCCCACGACCACCCCCACCACCTCCACCTCCCCCGCCGCCTGCACCACCGCCACCTCCACCGCCACCCCCACTTCCCCTGCCACCCTTGCCGCCCCTGCCGCTGCGATGCTTCCCACTAGGAGCGGAAGCAGCCCCGACCTCCTCAGCACCAAGGTAGTCGTGAGCAGCAGCTGCGGAGGCGTAGGAGGGGGTGAGAGGGGAGGGGGAGCACCCCTCAAAGAGGGGAGAGCGCGGAGTGCCACGAGCAGCACCTACAGCGAGGATGTTCTTCTCTGCTGCTAGGAGGTGCTTCTCGAAGTCGTCGACAGTGAGAGTGGGGGGTTCGAGCGCTAGGAAGTGGTCCCTGACTGAGCTACGAGTGTCAGGGAGGCGGGTGACGAGGAAATAGAGAGTGAAGTACATCGGGGGGGGGGGGGGGGGGGGGGGGGGGTTGCGGCGCAGAACTCGGCTGAAAGGGCGGCACGAAAGCGAGTGTCAGTGGCGCGCAGGTGGGAAATGAGGTCCTCAGCAGTGGTGAACGAGGAAAGATCGGGGAACAGGTAAGGTAGCATGAGTCGACCTATGGCTGCAGTGGCCGGGGAGGAGTAGCGCGCAACTACAGTGTCGTACAATGTCTTAGCAGTTTTGTGCTGGCTGAAATGCGCGCGCTCAGTAATCGGCAGGTGGTTCCTAATAGCGAGGCGTGCAGCAGCATCGCGAGTCTGCCACTGTGAGCGTTCGAGAGCAGGAGCATCGGCAGCAGGAGCAACGGCAGTGCCAGATACGTAATCGAACAGGGAAACGCCCTCTTTGGCATCGGTCAGAAGGAACAGCTGGAGATCGTCTAACCACACAGCGAACACTATGGGGCGACCGTCGGGCTCGAACGCTAGAACGTTAGGCGTCGTCATAATGGCTCCAGGCAGAGGCAGGAGGCAGCAGGCAGCAGACAAGAGGCAACAGGCACCAGGCCACAAGCAAAGGCAGAGGCAGCAGGCAGCAGGCAGGAGGCAGCAGGCAGGAGCGGCCGCACGCGAGCCCCTAAAGCAGCACGCTAAGCCGTAGCGGGTCGCGCAGGCGGTCGACGCGACGCGCGGCGCAGCGGCGGGCCGCACTGGCGAAAGACGCGGCGCGCGGGGCGACGGCGGGCTGCACGCGACGGTGAGCTGCGCGGGCTCGACGCGAGCTGCGCGGGCGACGCGGGCCAGCAGTGGCGCGCGCTTTGAAAACAGGGACGCGCGCGCTAACAGCCAAGGCGCGCGCGAAAAAAAAAGAAGGATGACGTGCGCTGCAGCGGAGGCGCGCGCAGGCAGTAGGCAAGGCAGGTAGGGTAACACAGTTAGGTGGGCCAGATTCTTAGGTCCTAGAGACCTCCTGCTCTAGTTACCATGTTGAGACTAAGTCACAGGGAAAAGTGGTGAATTGGGTCAAGATTGGGGTGCAAGACTAGAGTGTCGAGATTGTTTTGTACCCTCTAAGGCTAACCCCAATATAGCCTAGATAATAACAAGCATATGTTTTGACACAATCCTCAATTATAAGCGCACCCCCTTAAAAAACATGATTTATTATAAGCGCATGCTAGCTCTAAAACTGAAAAACTGTCAAATTTCTGTAACGAAGTTCACTTTAGGAGGCGATGAGTAGAAAATCAGATTTCCTTAGCATTCAAACCCTGCACGGGTTGCGCGTCCAGTCAGCAAGTGCTGTCAGAAGCTCCTAGTGACCCATTTTGAGTGTATGTGCTGGGAGGGAATCTTTCCCTGCCAAGTAGCGATAGTTTTTCACCCACAACCCTGTTTCAAATCGACTCGATTGGGTGCGCAATTACGCGAACTACATTTTCGTGCTAGTAGTTTAAAATTGTATATTTGTTATTTTATGAGCGGATGCGCATACCTATATTTTTTACTCAATTTTAAGCGCACCCCCCTAAAAAATCATGTTTTATTATAAGCGCAGGTGCGCTTATATCCGGGGTGATACGGTACGTCGTCCACCGTTCTTTGCCTTGACACTGACACAGAATCGCTGTCTGTGTATATAAGTCGAGCACAATCGTTTCAAATTGCATGGCAGTGGATGGTTCGTTCTCCATCCGACCTTGACTTCACAGCGGGTGATGTGAAACACAGAGAGCAGTGCAGGCATCATGCGCTGACAGTCAGGTACGTTCTGATAAAGAGCTTCAGATCAAGTACGGACATTCTCTCATTTCATCAGGCTGCCTTACAATACAAGTGCACCAATTAGCCTCAGATCAGAGATGCCATCATGCCAATCAGGGAAAGGAGTGACCACAACAGAATCCTTGCATTGGCCTCAAGCATTCTGCATGCCCAAGGGGATGAAACAGAAACAAAATGCTTGAAACGCCAGGTACCGTAACTGGCAGTACTGATGGTTGTTGTAAAGTTAAAACAGTACATCAGGCATTGTACTAACGATCAAGATGCCGTAGTTGACCAAAACATCACGCCAAGGCTTCATACCCCTCTGCCTTGTCCTCCCATACCCCCCCATCCCGCCACAAACCTCCCTGCCCCTTCTCACCTGACTGGTTTCCCCAGCACAGAGGATCCCTGGCTGACAGGTGCTTTCAATACGAGCTGCTCAGAAGACACAGCACATGAGCAGCTCGTATCGAAAGCTCAGCACCACCGCCACCGCCACCACCACCAAGAATCCTTCTCCCTTCCCTGCACAGGCGACCATTGCCTCATGACCCCCGCTTCTTAACAAACTCAGAAGAGTTTTTTTTTTCTTTCTTTTTTTTTCTTTCTTTCTTTCTTTCTTCCCAACTGAGTCATGACCAATCTCCTTTCCTTATCCAGTGCATCTCCCCCAAAACGATAGCCAAGGTGCATCCCATCCCATCCCATGCACCTTGGTGAGGAGATGGTAGGGAGGCACCTTGGCCATCCCATGTAACTTCCCGAACGGCATCTTCCCAGCGTCACCTTCCGAACAATCGCCACCACGCCTTCCTCTCCCTCCTCTCCTGCACCCTCGCTGACAAGCGTTGACGTTCGGCCTTTTCTTCCGCAGTCCTTCTCTTGCCCTCCCTGCTAACACCAACCTCCCCACTGCCCCCTTCCTCTCTATACCACTCTCTCGCAAATTGCTCTGTGCTCGTTCCCTCCTGTTGGCCCCACTCTTCTATCCAGGCTTCCTCTCTCCTCCCTTCCTCCCTTTCACTTCCTTTCCGGCTCTTCAGTTCAACCTGCGCCCCCTCCTTACTCTTCTCCGGCTCTCTCTCTGCCTCATTCCATTCTTCTCGCTTTCCTTCCTCCTCCCCCCCCTCTTTTCTGCTTCCTTCCATTTGCCTTGCCTCTTCGCTCCTCCTTCCTCCCTTAACTTCACCCTCTGCCCTGCTACTGGTTTCCTCCCCTCTCCCCTCCTCTTTTCTCCTTCCTTCCTCCCTTTTCACCCCCGCTCTCCCCACTCCATCCTCCCCTCCCACTTCCTCTCTCCTCCCCCCTTCCTCCCCACCCCCAGCTGCTCCCCTCCTCCCCTCCTCCCCTCCCGCCTCCTCTCTCCTCCTCCCTGCCTCCCCACCCCCAAATTCTCCCCTCCTTCCCTCCTCCCCTCCCCCCTCCTCTCTCCTCCTCCCAGCTCCCCCCCACCCTTCCTCTCTCCGAACTGGTTTCTCCAGAAGGCAATTCAGGTACACGTGGGGCCCCTTGCGTTCCCCCGGGTCCGGCTTGGGCAGCACGCGCCAGTGTAGGCGATTGTAGCTGAGGAGATTCAGGATGGCAACGTACACTGGGAACTCGTCAAGGGGGGCATAGAACATCTCCAGCCATATGACACCGCCTGAAGGCAGGGGAGGGCAGGGGAGGGAAGGAGAGGGCAGGGGAGGGAAGGAGAGGGCAGGGGAGGGAAGGAGAGGGCAGGGGAGGGAAGGAGAGGGCAGGGGAGGGAAGGAGAGGGCAGGGGAGGGAAGGAGAGGGCAGGGGAGGGAAGGAGAGGGCAGGGGAGGGAAGGAGAGGGCAGGGGAGGGAAGGAGAGGGCAGGGGAGGGTAGGGGAGGGTACGGGGAGTGTGGTTAGTTTCAGCACACGAAGGGTTGGTGCACAAGAGGCCGGTGGCTTAGACAGGACACGCCAGTGCAGGCGGCTGTAGCTGAGGAGATTGAGGATGGTGACATACACTGGGAACTCATCCAATGGGGCGTAGAACATCTCCAGCCAGATCACAGCACCTGAATGAAGGTGGGGGAGGGAAGGAGAGGGCAGCACGCACCAGAGCAGGCGATTGTGGGTCAGAAGGTTGAGAATGGCGATTGTAGGTCAGAAGGTTGAGAATGGCGATTGTAGGTCAGAAGGTTGAGAATGGCGATTGTAGGTCAGAAGGTTGAGAATGGCGATTGTAGGTCAGTCAGAAGGTTGAGAATGGCGATTGTAGGTCAGAAGGTTGAGAATGGCGATTGTAGGTCAGAAGGTTGAGAATGGCGATTGTAGGTCAGAAGGTTGAGAATGGCGATTGTAGGTCAGAAGGTTGAGAATGGCGATTGTAGGTCAGAAGGTTGAGAATGGCGATTGTAGGTCAGAAGGTTGAGAATGGCGATTGTAGGTCAGAAGGTTGAGAATGGCGATTGTAGGTCAGAAGGTTGAGAATGGCGATTGTAGGTCAGAAGGTTGAGAATGGCGATTGTAGGTCAGAAGGTTGAGAATGGCGATTGTAGGTCAGAAGGTTGAGAATGGCGATATACACTGGGAACTCGTCCAGCCACTCTTAGCATCTATTCAAACTACAACATTGACGCTGTTAAGTGCATGGTTACCATGTGGTTTCTATGAAATAATGAGCAGAGGAAGAGGGGTGCTTAAAGAGGCTTACCGACTCTCAATACGCGGTCCCAGTCGAAGAGCATCTCTTCAAACTCCAACATGGGCAGGTATTTTACGCTGTTGACGCTGTGAATGATGTCCAATGATCCGTCAAAGAATGGCAGACGGGCCTGACAGGACACGGGAAGAGGGTGAATGGAGAGAAGGGGACACCGAGGAGAGAGGAGGAAGGGAAATGGGTAATTGATGCTGTCGATGATTTTCAAGGAGCCGTCACAGAATGGAAGGCACCTACCGTGTGTAACAGGTGAGGGGAATGAGGCCTCTCAGGACTATTGCCTCCATGTATGGAAGCCCCTGCTTGCGCCCCACCACTGTCTCCACACTCATGGCCATGGTGAGGATAGTCACATTGTAGAGCGCCATGTGTGCAGGTTCATTGCACACAGTATACAGCACACAGCACGCAGCACCCACCTTATGTGGCAAGTGCAGGGGAATCAACCCTCTCAACGCTATAGCCTCCATGTATAGCAGCCCCTGCTTGCGCCCCACCACTGTCTCCACACTCATGGCCGTGGTGAGAATGGTACCATTGCAGCTACATGCTTGTTGAGTCAAAGGGGGCAGCACACAGCACACATCATACAGCACACAGCACCCACCTTGTGTGGCAGATGCAGGGGAATGAGCCCCCTCAACGCTATGGCCTCCATGTAGGGCAATCCCTGCTTGCGCCCCACCACTGTCTCCACATTCATGGCCGTGGTGAGGATGGTCACATTGTACAGAGCCATGTGCGCTGCAAAGCTGCCCGTGCCGCCTCCTATATCCAGACCGAGCCTGCAGACAACCGGAAAACGAGACAGGGAAGGGGAACCGAGTGGTGAGGATGGTCACGTTGTAGAGAGCCATGTGCGCTGCGAAGCTGCCTGTACCGCCTCCAATCGAGACCGAGCCTAGAGACAATGGGAAGAAGCACGGCGGGTGGCGGAAGGGGAGGAATGTGGCGGATGGTCACGATGTAGAGTGCCATGTGTGCTGCAAAGCTGCCTGTGCCATATATCCAGTCCAAGCCTGCAATCACGGGGAACAGTGGGACACGCGGAAGGGGAGGCATGTGGACAGGATGACCGCAACAAAGAGTGCCATCTGCGCCGCAAATCTACACGTGCCACTGCGAATATCCAGGCCCAGCCTGCAGACATGGGGGTCTTCATTTTAAGCACATCCGCTGTCAGCGACCCCCTGTATAGCATGCGCCAGCGGTTTCTCTCAAGCGTGAGGCTGAAGCAGAACCTGGTATGTGATTCCAACACTTTCTCATATAGCACATGCCACTCACCTGATGCTTCCCTGCTTCATTTTAAGCACATCCGCTATAGTCAGCGATCCCCTGTACCGCACTCGCCATCGATTCCTCTCGAGAGTGAGGTTGAAGCAGAGGCAGCAGTCCCCCACCACACTTTCAATCCTCCTGTTGTATCATGTCTCACCTGATGCTTCCCTGCTTCATTTTAAGCACATCCGCTATAGTCAGCAACCCCCCCTGTATCGCACGCGCGGTTCCTCTCGAGAGTGAGGTTGTAGCAGAGGCGGATATGTAATTTCACCTTATTTTCAATCTTTCCCCACTACAGCACATCTCACCTGATGCTTCCCTGCTTCATTTTGAGCACATCCGCTACAGTCAGCAACCCCCCCTGTATCGCACGCGCGGTTCCTCTCGAGAGTGAGGTTGTAGCAGAGGCGGATATGTAATTTCACCTTATTTTCAATCTTTCCACACTACAGCACATCTCACCTGATGCTTCCCTGCTTCATTTTGAGCACATCCGCTATAGTCAGCGACCCCCTGTATCGCACACGCCAGCGGTTCCTCTCGAGAGTGAGGTTGAAGCAGAGGCGGCAGTCCCCCACCACACGGGCGTTGAGGCAGGCGAAGGAGGAGCAGGCGTGGTGGTCCCACACTAGAGCCCTGTCTATCAATGCACTCAGATTGAAGAGCGCCTGGGGGAAGGGCAGGGGCTGGGGGTAGGGGAAAGAAGACGGAAACAGGAACCCCGATGGAGGGAGGACAGCAGGAGAGAAAGGAGCTGGATTGAAAGAATTAGGACAGAGGGAGAAGCAAAGAGTGAGGTTGAAGCAGAGGCGGCAGTCCCCCACAACGCGGGCGTTGAGGCACGCGAAGGAGGAGCAGGCGTGGTGGTCCCACACCAGAGCTGTGTCTATCAGCGCGCTCAGATTGAAGAGCGCCTGGGGGAAGGGCAGGGGCTGGGGGTAGGGGAAAGAAGACGGAAACAGGATCCCCGGTGGAGGGAGGACAGCAGGAGAGAAAGGAGCTGGATTGAAAGTATTAGGACAGAGGGAGAAGCAAAGAGTGAGGTTGAAGCAGAGGCAGCAGTCCCCCACAACACGGGCGTTGAGGCACGCGAAGGAGGAGCAGGCGTGGTGGTCCCACACGAGGGCTGTGTCTATCAGCGCGCTCAGATTGAAGAGCGCCTGGGGGAAGGGCAGGGGCTGACAGGAGGGATGTAGGGAAGGAGGGGAGTCGAAGGGAGAAGGGAAGCAGGAGGGAGGTAGGGAGGGGAGCGGGAGGGAGGGAAGCAGAGAGGAGGGTGGGGAGAAAAGGAGGTTCAAGCAGAGCCGGCAGGCGAAGGAGGAGCAGGCGTGGTGGTCCCTCACTAGAGCCGCGTCTATGAGCGCACTCAGATTGATTAGCGCCTGGGGGAAGGGCATAGACGCAGGCGCTCTTCAATTTGAGAGAGGAGCTATATGGGCTCACATTGATGGTTTGGTTGGTGGTGCGTGCGCGGCAGCGGCGTTGAGGCAGGGAGAAGCAGCGGTGGTGGAAAATGAGGGACTGGGTGGCAAACCAGTCGTCTGGGCACGCCCCACTGGCGTCATATGTCGTGTATTGCCTGAGAGCCTCGTCTGCTGCATCACACGTGTAGCCCTGACAAGGAGGAGAGAGTGAGGGGGGAGCACAGGCAGAAAGACTGGGTGGCAAACCAGTCGTCTGGGCACGCCCCACTGGCATCGTATGTCGTGTATTGCCTGAGAGCCTCGTCTGCTGCATCACACGTGTAGCCCTGCGGGGTGGACAAGCAGAAGAGGGGAAGGAAAGGAGTGGCGGTCGTCAGGGCACGTCCCACTGGCATCGTACGGTGTGTATTGCCTGAGAGCCTCGTCTGCTGCATCACACGTGTAGCCCTGCGGGGTGGACAAGCAGAAGAGGGGAAGGAAAGGAGTGGCGGTCGTCAGGGCACGTCCCACTGGCATCGTACGGTGTGTATTGCCTGAGAGCCTCGTCTGCTGCATCACACGTGTAGCCCTGCGGGGTGGACAAGCAGAAGAGGGGAAGGAAAGGAGTGGCGGAATCAGGCAGCAGTGGTGGTGGAGGATGAGGGAATGGGTGGCAAACCAGTCGTCAGGGCACGAACCTGGGGGATGGACGAGGGGGCATGATAGGGGACCCACCTCCACACCCACCCCCACCTCCAACGCCCACACCCCCTTCCCCTCCGCTTACCTTCCACACCAGTGTCCCCTGCTGTGCCACAGTGCCATGTTCATGCACGAAGAATCTCCACTGCCACACCCACCCCCATACCCCCACCGCCATTCCATGCATGATCAGACCACCACTCCAACCCCCAAGCCCAGACCCCCTCCCTTCCACTCACCTTCCACACCAGCGTGCCCTGCTGTGCCACGATGCCATGTCAGTTGCACTGCCACCCCATGCACGATGAAACCTCCACACCCACCCCCAGCTTCAACCCTACGCCCACACAAACACCCCTCGCCTCTACACACCTTCCACACCAGCGTGCCCTGCTGTGCCACGATGCCATGTCCGTTGCATCGCCATCCCATGCACAAAGCACCACCGCCACACCCACACACACGGCCAGACCCCAACCCCGTCACCATTCCATGCACGAAAGCACCACCACACCCATCTGCAACCCCACGCCCACACTCCCTTCCCCCCACTCACCTTCCACACCAGTGTCCCCTGCTGTGCCACAATGCCGTGTCCGTTGCACCGCTGCACTGTCATCTGCGCCTCGTGCATGGACTGCCGTGGGGGGGGGGGTGTTGATGGGCCCACGGGAGGGAAGGCAGGGAGGAATCCATTGGTGCATGGACTGTGGTTGGGCAAAGGAACGAAGGGGGGCGTGTGTAAGGACGGGAGGAGAAAAGGAGGAGATCACAATGCCCCGCCCGTTCACCGCTGCACTGTCATCTGTGCCTCGTGCATGGACTGCAGAGGACGGAAATGCGTGGTATGGATGGGAGGAGGGAATGCAGGTAGGGATGCTTCGGTGAGGGAGGGGAAAGAGGAGCGGGGAGCTGTGTGCCTGCCAGCCATAATAGAAGGACAGGGGGAGAGAAGGAGGGAATGAAGGGGCTTTAAACCCGAAACCCTGAACCATGGGCTCTGGTGGAGGAAAGGAGGGGGGCATGTAAGGAGGAGAGCGCAACGACATGTATGATGCTTCGTTGCACCATTAACTGCGGCCCATACGTGGACTGCAGAGGAAGGGAAAGGCCGACATGGATGGGAGGAGGGAAGGCGGGAAGGGATGCTTGATAGAAACACTGCTTCCCAGTTAGTGTCAGCTCTTTTCAGCTTCTTATTCAGAACGCTTATCTCCCGGCCCACCCACTTACTCCCCGCCTGCCTTAACCCATCTGCTGGTCTCACCTTTCTTGACAAAAATGTTGCTTCCCAGGTGGTATCAGCTAAATTTCTGAGGCACCTCGAAAACATATGCCTTAAGCACTGGGCAATGCTGCCTCACCTGGTTTTATGGAAACAGTGCTTCCCAGTTGGCATCAGCTCTGCTCAGCTCACTTCCCCGGCACCCCGGATACAGCAGGCGAGTGCACTGGGGAATGAGGTCTCACCTGGTTGGATAGAAACAGTGCTTCCCAGTTGGCATCAGCTCTGCTCAGCTTCTTATTCAGCACGTATTTCTCTCGGCTCACCCTCTTGCTCTCCGCCTGCCATAATTCATCACACAATAAGGGGTACGGCAGAATAAAAACCAGATCTTGATATCTTGGCTTGATAAGCTCAGTCAGGGGTTTCGGGTTTACAGCAGCAGCAATAAAAAAGGCCATTTGCAGTCGTTGAAATTCGAAAGAACCGACCGGTTCCAGGGTTCAGGGTTCTAGGTTTCTGGCATTGAGCTCACCTGCTCATCCATTGAGGTGTGACTCACCGTTCATCCCCTCTACTGAATGCCTTACCTGTTTCTCTGCAATATGCCACGTTATCCTTTCCAGCTCCAATGTCAGCTGCGGATCACAGCATGGCGCTGGATACCCTACTTGACGCTTGCCTCACTCGTTTCTCAACCCTCACCTGTCTCTCAGTCCTCACCTGTTTCTCTGCAATCTGCCCCATACGCCTCTCCAGATCCGCTGTCTGCACCCTAAGCTTCACCACTAGCGGGTCACAGAAAGTATGGTGCTAACTACCCATTCAGCCCTCACACGTTTCTCAACCCTCACCTGTTTCTCTGCAATCTGCCCCATACGCCTCTCCAGGTCCGCTGTCTGCACCCTAAGCTTCAGCACCAGCGGGTCACAGCACGGCGCAGATTCCTGCAGAAGCTTCCTCGACCCCTCCAACTCAAGCCCGGAATTCCCTCGTCCTGCATTCTCGTCCCCCTCGCCACCCTGTCCTGACTGTAATCCCTGGAGATTCGTCTTCTCTACATCATCATCGCTCGTGCACGGCACACAGTCTGCAAGCCTGGCGCTGGTATGGTGTATTCCTGCCAATCTCCTTCTCACCCGGGCCTGGCCGTGGCTCGGAACGAGCTCTAAGTCATCAGAGACGTGGGGCTGTTTGTTCTCCCCATCCGTCTCCTCTTCAGCCTCATCTAAACTCCTGCCCTCCTCCTTCTCATCCCCCTCCTCCTCGTCCCACTCCTCACCTTCCTCGTCCTCCTGCACATTCATATCCCCTTTATTGTCTCTGCTCTTTACCCTCCCTTTCTCGCCCTTCCTCACCCACTGTTTTCCACGCCCTCCCTCATCCTCCTTGCCCAGTTCTCCATTCCCATCTCGTCTGAACCCCCCTTCCATGCCTCCCAGGGACCAGGAATCACCCAGCCTGAAGGACCTTTCCGAAGCGGCAGGCTTGGTTTGGTGTGGATCCGAAACAGCTGGTGTGCTTCGGCTGAACTCCAGACCAGCAGGGTCGGCTTGATGCCCTGATGAGAGGAGTGGATCCGGAAGAACTGGGAAGAATGGGGAAAGCTAAAATGGTAAAACAGGAGAACTTCTTGCTACGAAGTTGAAACGACGAATAAAGGCTGAGAGGGACGATCAGTGCAGGAAGTGGCTCCTCTCCCAACGGCCCTTGTCAGAAGTCTACACAAAGCTGTTCACTCTGACCTTGTCCGAGTCGAAGCTTCTGATCCTTCCCTTAAAGCCATTGCTTTAAAGTGAGGTGGCTTTTGAGTCGACCCAAACCTTACCCGGTCCAAGTAAAATATCCTGACGCGTTTCCTGGAACCATCGCCTGAGATCATCCAGCTCCTGCTGGCATTGCATCTCTCGGCGATGCGATTGGCTGGCGAGCATTCTGAATGAGCGCGAAAACAAGCACAGTGAGCATCAGGCAAGAACACGCGGAGAGCGGAGACGAAAGAACGGAGGAGAGGGGACGAGAGGCTGTGTATTCTTGGGAATGTCATAACACATTCTTGAAATATTTCCAGGCAAGAAGGTAGGTTTACCTCCATGGTATCCAGGAACGGAAAACCCTTAGCCATGGTGTCGCCTCAGTGGATCGGGAAGAACTGGCAGAGGAGGAATCGGCTGAGGACGGTACCAGCAATGACGCTTCGGTTACGTGTTCACTTATCACCATGTGTGCTGCAAACACAACGACGAGCACCAGGAATCTGATGTTCGAGAGCCTGATGGCCCTAATCCTGAATCCTTGTTGACGGAAAGCCATTTACTCTCCGGCCAGAAGCTAAGGCCGAAATACTGATCGTTAGCGGTCAGACTCTGGCACTCGGAGTGCCCTGAGCCACTGAATCCGGCGATAGGCTTTAGAATATGGAAGTGGATCCGAAGGTCTGACAGGATACCTATCGTCGGAATGTCTGCGACATCATCACCGAGGGGAAAATCAGGTCAGCTTTGCTCTTCAGACCAGCGAAACAAGCCGTAAAACTTGCAGTTAGCGCGATAAGGTTGCGACGAAATTTACAATACTGGCTTGTATTCAAGCTGAACTCTCGCTTCGACGTCATAGTCAAGAGCTAGGACCCTGCATTCTCAAAGGTAGGTGCTCTCATTAGAGGTACAACAGACAAAGGTTATTCTGATGTTATTACAGCGCAACCAGTGGAAGGATTTCATGGTGAACCGACCTACTCCGTAGTTGGACAAGGAACCAGAGCTAGTCATTAGACCGAACCAGACCATACCGAAAGGTACCATAACCCAGGATCATACAAACACCCCATTTCATCATTCCACCAATGGCTGTGTGTGGTCAGTTTGCCAGCAGACAGCCCATTTGTCTGATGGTCGGATGATTCGCGCCACCTCAGGGATCAGCGGCTGGGATGGGGAAGGCGTTGTGCGAAATACGCTCGGGACCAGCGCCGACGACAGAAAGACCACTTCGCGAAAAGTGAGCCAATCATTGTCGGAAAAAAAAAAGCTTCGGATGAAACCTGTTCTTAGATTTACCTACCCCGTTCTGGTCGGTTGGAAGAGGTTGCCAAACACGACAGGGAACGGCCAACTACAAAGCAGACAAGGATAGATCCGTGTGGAGATAAAGGATTGGCCATTTCTTGTTACAACTGGGTGAATATTCTAGGAAGCAGTATCTGTTATTTGACCTACAGTAAGTATCAGTGTGTAATATGTCGGTGTAATACAACTAATTTACATAAATGATTCCTTTAAATCAGCGATATAGTAAATTAATCAACTGTATCTGTGTCTAATATATTTTTTATATGTAATAATATATTATGCATAATTTAATATATGATAGCTCCTAAACTTTCTTCCCTGTGTATCATGAAATGGACATACGTACATCTCTCGTATCATTGTGAATCCAGTTTGATGTGCATGTACAGACACATCATCACCGCAGATGTGAAATAAAAAGTTGTTGCATAACGGAGATCCTTCTCGTTGAGATGGCTTCACGGTGACGATACTCTTGCATGGAACACGGAACGGGATGACCCACCGTTTCGCCCCGGAAAGGCACGAACCAATCATCGTCCAAATCCATTTCAACCAGCCACTCAAGCTTCCAAATGTTCAAAAATTCATCCCCATTTCCTCCACACCCGACCACGTCAAAAGTGGAGGCGAGGCGGATGGAGGGAAGACATGCGGAGAACAAGGGCGGTAGGGGCTCGCTGTCCTTTTCCAGGCGCATCCAACCGTTCATACCTTTCGCAATCTATATCGAACGGCAGAAAACAGTTTATCGCCTCCAAAGCAAAATCTTGAGGTTTCCCCTTTCGAACATCCTCCCCCTACTCGGATTCGTGGGAGAGAGTCGGAATTGTGTTTCAGGCGAGGTGCCCAGCCATGGCCATGGCAGATGCTTCAAAAAGCATCTCGCAGGGGTTCCTTGGTGTAGGCTTTCGCGTCTCGGTTGCTTGCTGGTGAGGTTTCCGGCTAACCCATTTTGTTGCGCCACCACTAGTACAAAGCATAGATTGGAACCATCACTCGCATTGTTTTCTTCGACGCAAGCCTCACCTACTGGTCACTAACTCCTGGTTCTAAAATCTCAGCACCAAATCCTGGAATTTCGTGCGGGGGTTTGGCGTTTTTAGAACCAAGGCATCTCACCCGTGTCAACAACTTGGGTCTGCCTCAGGATCATATTCAGGCTAGGCTAGCTACCGAGCGGAATTAGCTTGACCTGATCGTAAGGGTTTCTCGAGGATTTTGATTTAAACGCTTACTACGCGCTTTGAGTCTGGCTCAGGATCATTTTCGGGCTAGGCTAGTAACCAGCTTGCGATTCGCCACATCGACGCTCCCGCAGAGTACTGCCATTGTCTGCTGATCCATTTCTATCGAGCACTACCGCCGTCTGTCCGTCCTAATTACCTCACTCGGGTGAAAGCCCTTCATCGTCCTGCGTCTGTTGCGCACACCTTGGTCCCATAGCATCGTTCAGTCCTTTTAGCTCCTGTCGTGGTGTTTTTCACCTCACAACATTCTGAGCCTCTCTTGTTGGAAGGAAACGGTGGTGGGGCGGTGGTATGCCCCCAACCCACCGAGGGCACTTCGGTGCCTTCGATCCCTTTGACTAGGGATCGGTGGGGTGGCACCGATTGACTTCGGGAGACTCACCCTTCGGTGCCACGTGGCGGCACCACATTCCAACCTTCAAGTGCAAGGCGAATTCGGTGTGTTCGGTGTGAAATTCGGTGGTCGAATTTCACCCCAACCGAAATGTTACACGCGGCGCATTCGCGACGCGAGTGTAGCGATGTGATGTTACATGTGCGGTTCGATGTAATGCATTTGCTATAAATCGACCTGCCTTGTATGCATGCTTTATACTGAAATCCTGAATCTTCTTGTACATGGTCCATTCGAACCAAAATTCCAGAGAGGTCTATCCTTGCTTCTAAGAGCACTAGCAATCACGTGAACGCCAATATCTCGGCGTATACTTGGGCGATTAACGTGTTTGACGGCTTGTTGGAAAGCCAAGACTGTGCTCTATCGTTTAGTGCAACTTAGAGTTCCTGCAAAGTAGAGGAGACGCCTCTACAACAGTGGTATCAGAGCTGGTCGGTAGAGTCTACATGCGCGACTTGTAGCAAGCATGATGACGTCAAGCGAAACCTCCGGCACTTCCTTAGGTGGTGTCGTCTCGAATCCCGGCGAACCCTGGACAAACGCGACGGTGTTCGACACGTCGGCGGTTCCGATTTTCACGGGACAAAACTACTCCGCGTGGAAATTTAAGTTCCAAGTGCTCATGATGGAGCGGGGACTTTGGGGTCTCTTCGACGGAACGGAGAAAAAGCCTGTCAACGAGGACGAGATCGCGGCATGGAAGAAGAAGGACCAAAAGGCGTTCGCAACGTTGATTTCGCGCATCGGCATCAACCTCGTGATTTCGGTGCGCACGTGCATCAAGCTCGAAGCTTCGGCGCGTGAAGCATGGAAGCGGCTCGAGACGATGCACGTGAACAAGACTCTCCACGGCAAGATCCTAGCCCGAAATGCGTTCTACACGGTGAAGTTGCGCGCGGGCGAATCGATGCACGAGTATGCGACTCGTGTGGAGGAACTCGGGGAAACGTTCATGGACCTCGGTGGAACGGTCACGGAGGAGGATTGGATTCTCACCTTGCTTTGCGGCCTTCCGGAAGAGTGGTCGACGGTGATTACGACACTCGATAGCGTGCAAAACACTTGGACGAAGGAAATGGTGGTCGATCGGCTTCTCCATGAAGAATCGCGACGCCGACAATTCGCTAACAAGAGCGTGGAGACCGCCATGTTCTCCGGAGGGAGCTCCGGAAAGAAGTCCAAGTGGAGCAACGGTGAGGCAAAGAAATCGTCCGGTGGAAACGGTCGCGGCAAGGGCAACGCATCGAACGGTTCGAGCAAGTGTCATTATTGTCGCAAAGCGGGGCACTTTTGGCGTGAATGTCGGAAGCGGCCGAGCGATTGGATTCCATCGAAGGCGCGGAACCAAGAGGGCAACGCGCACACGGCATCCGGCGAGGCGGATGATTCAACGGAGTCGCTCGTTTTGTTGGCCGGTGACGGGATCAACACTTCAAACGACGCGTGGTTCCTCGACACCGGTGCAACACAACACATGACGCACTCGGCGTCGCTCCTCAACAACGTCGGTGCTCCGGGAGACGTCAAGCGCGTCGTCTTCGGGAACGATAAATCGCTACCGGTGGTTGGAGTTGGGAGTACGCGTCTCATCGTCGATGGCGGGCCGGTGGACATCACGAACGTGCTTCACGTCCCGGGATTGAAGGTGAATCTACTCTCCGTCACTCAACTCGCAAAGAAAGACGTGAAGGTCACCATCGATGGCGCGAAGATGA